ACCTCCACATTTATACAAAGTTAGTTTTGAGACAGCTGAAGATAGAGCCCCTCAGGATGGGGAGGGGCTCCAATACAACCCCCCACCCTCCAGGGGGGGCTGAAAACCCCCAGAGTGAACTCTCTCCACTCCCTTTCCCCCTCCCATTCTGAAAACTGTGACAGACTGGGAGCTCCACAGACACAAGTTACAAAAGACACTACATTTTAAAATGTCTTTATCTGATACCTCATGCAATGAGGGGTCAGATTTTCACTTGATCAGCCATTTTTTAAGATGCCTGTGGCCATGCACTCGTGTTTGGTCATAGCTATAAACTGCTTTCTGTGGCCAGATTGGGCAAAAATTGTCACTTCTGTCTGCACCAGTTTAATTCGACCAGTGCAGGTTTGTGTGGTGACAAAAAACTTATCTGTCAAGGCGATTTATTCAAATGCTGATAATTTCTATCAAGAATTGATGTAGTGTGTTGTACATAGGTATAATATAAAGGTATCTGCTGTTCTCCCAGTTCTAAATAGTTACTCATGTCAGTAAATAGTTTCTTAATTGCCTGAGGGGGTGCTCAGTGTTGTGAATAAATAACTTCATAATCTGGCTCTCAGTTGATGTCATAAGATAAGTCTCATGTATGATTGTAACACAAACTTAATTTATTGACCCTGAGATAGTGCAGAGTCACTTGGAAGGACTGGGTGCATTTAAGTCAGCAGGCCCGGATGAGCTCCATCCGAGGGTACAGAAGGCACTGGCTGATGTCATTGCAGAGCCACTGGCAAGAATATTTGAGCGCTTGTGCTGCACAGACCAGGTCCCGGAGGACTGGAAAAGTGCTAATGTGGTCCCTATTTTCAAGAAGGGGAGGAAGGAGGATCCAAGCAACTACAGGCCAGTCAGTCTCACCTCCATCCTTGGTAAAGTCTTTAAAAAGATTATTAAGGCTCATATATGTGAGAGCCCAGTAGGAAAAAAGCTGAGGGGAAACAAGCATGGGTTCGTAGCAGGTAGATCGTTCCTGACTAATCTAGTCTCTTTTTATGACCAGGCTACAAAACACCTGGACACAGGAGTAGGGGTAGATATAGTTTACTTAGACTTCAGGAAGGCCTTCAATACAGTATCCCACCCCATACTGGTGAACAAATTAAGAGGCTGTGACTTGGATGATTATGCAGCCCAGTGGGTGGCAAATTGGCTAGAGGTCGTACCTAGAGAGTGGTGGTGGACAGGTCGGTATCGACCTGGAAGGACGTGGGCAGTGGGATCCCGCAGGGCTTGTTCCTTGGACTGATACTCTTCAGTGTCTTCATCAGTGACTTGGACGAGAGAGTGAAGTGTACTCTGTCCAAGTTTGCGGATGATACAAAACTGTGGAGAGAAGTGGACACACTGGAGGGCAGGGAACAACTACAGGCAGACCTGGACATGTGGGACAAATGGGCAGAAAACAATAGAATGCTGTTTAACAAGGAGAAATGCGAAGTGCTGCACCTAGGAAGGAAAAATGTCCAGCACACCTGCTGCCTAGGAAATGACCTGCTCAGC